AACTTTTTTCCCTTGTTAATGTATTTGAGGTTTCATAAGGGGCACGGAGCAACATTAATTATTCTCACCTGTTTTAATGTATATATATTTTTTTAGATAATAAGCATTTTAGACATTCAATTCTTCTAAATATGTATGTAAATATTTAAAATAGTCCTTTTTACATTTATTAGACTACATATAATTGTGCCAGTTCACTAAATGACACTGTGGTTTCAAGGCACTGTTAGTGGCATAAAAGCAATTCCTAGTGATACCACGTGTATTGTAAAGCCAGGTGAACCATGCCAGGCTAATTATCTCTTTCAGTGTTGCAAGGGAGAACAGCAAGATGTGGGCTCTCCCCTGTGGCGTTGTGAATGAAAGTGAAAGAACTTCTAGTAATCTGCTCTGCATGTAATAATAGAGAGCAGGTTGTATCTCTCTATAAAACGCACACGCAAAACAACAAAACAAAAAAAGCAGGAGAGGCCCAGCAAGTGGTATCTTGTCTATTGCCACCTGATGGGCTTTGGCGTAAAGAATAATACTAAAAAGGTCCCAGTAGGTGTCTTTTCACCTGGGCCCTTTATAAATGAATAATGTGCTCAGAAAGTGTCCAGTCTCCTGGTCTATATATCAAATATAGGGCACATTAAAAGCCCATGAGATGTCCAATCTCTTTAGCCCTTTTATAAAATGCATATGTGTTCTCCTAAGAGACAAGGCATATCCTGGACTCTGTATGATTACTTCTGTTAGGGTTTAACCCATTCAAAACTGGAATGTTGGTAGCTAGAAGGCTTCAAACCTCCTCAATTATAACCTTGCCTTCCCTTTACATTAATTAATAGTAGTGATGCCCAATAATCTAAAAAAAAAATTAAAGCAAAACAATAGTACACTTACAGTAATGAGAAACAGAAAAAAAACACGCTCTTTGAATTTTATGTTTTACATATCGGGGCATAATAATAATCATCTGTCCTTTAGCAGGTCTTAAAATTAGGTAAATACAACCTCAGATTAACAACAACACAACCATGTCATGATTTATTTAACAAAAATAAAGCCAAAATGTATAAGCCATGTGTGAAAAAGTAAGTAAACCTTATGATTTAATAGCTTGTAGAACCACTTTTAGCAGCAATAACTTGAAGTAATTATTTTCTGTATAATTTTATGAGGCTCTAACATTGTTGTGGAGGATTTTTGGTATCCTCTTCTTTACTACTTTGCTTCAGTTCATTGAGGTTTGATGGCATTTGTTTATGCACAGTTCTCTTAAGGTCATGCCACAGCTTTTCAATTGGGTTGAGGTCTGCACTTTGACTGGGTCATTGCAACACTTTGATTCTTTTCTTTTTCAGCCATTCTGTTGTAGATTTGCTGGTGTGCTTGGGATCATTGTCTTGTTGCATGACCCAATTGTGACCAAACTTTAGATGTTGGACAGATGGCATTACATTTGAATTTGGAATACTTTGGTATACAGAGAAGATCATGGACTACCAAGTTCCCAGGTCCTGTAGCTGCAAAATAAGCTCAAATCATAACCACTCCACCACCATACTTGACAGTTGGTATAAAGTTTGTTTTTTGCCAAATGTTTTATTGTTCATTATGGTGAAACATTTCCACATTGGTCTCATCTGTCCAAAGAGCATTGTTGCAGATGTCGTGTGGTTTTTTTCAGATGCAACTTTGCAAACATAAACCATGCTGCCATGTTCTTTTTAGAATAAAAGGCATTCTCTTGGCAACCCTTCCAAACAAACCATACTTGTTCAGTCTTTTTCTAATTGTACTGTCATGAACTTTACCATTTAACATGCTAACTAAGGCCTGTAGAATCAGAGATGTAACTCGTTTTTTGTTTTTTTTACAATTTCTCTGAGCATTGCACGGTCTGACCTTGGAGTCAGTTTGCTAGGACGTCCACTCCTGGGAAGATTGGCAACTGTCTTGAATGTTTTCCACCGTAGAATGGTGGACTTTAAGTTGTTTGTAAAAATGACCGTTTTACCCTTCCCATTTTGATATACATCAACAATTGCTTCTCTAAGATCATTGCTGATGTCTTTCCACCTTGGCATTGTGTTAATTGCTAAAACTTTGGCTTTTATAGAAGTGGTCAAGCTTTCTGATGATCAATTTATCAAGGACATTTGATTAGCAACACCATAGCCTCTAAAATCCTATGAAATTAGTAAGGGTGTGCTTAGTTTTTCACACATGACGTTTCCATTTTGGCTTTATTTTTGTAAAATAAATCATGACACGGTGTGATATGTCATGTGTTGTTGTTCGTTGGAGGTTGTATTTACCTAATCTTAACACATGCTTTAGACACACATATTTACACATGTCCTCCTAGAAAAAATCTTAGGCTTCTGCTTCCTATAACCTGAAAGTTGGAGAGTAAAACCGTCCATACGCATGCCCTTATCGATTCTGGGGCTGCAGAAAATTTTGGGATGCCTCTTTTGTAAAAACCTATTCTCTCCCTTTAAGAGTAAGATCCATACCCTTTGCCGTAGAGGCCACCGATGGTAGACCACTTAGTGATCTTGTTATCACCAAAGAAACCATACCCTTTTTAATCTTAGTAGGAACAATTGTTTTAGGATATCCTTGGCTTGCTAAACACAATCCTATAACAGATTGGCAAAATAAGGAGATAATAAGTTGGAGTGATTCATGTATGGAGGGGTGTGTTTGCCTCATACATGTTCGTACAATGGAACCTTTAACCACTGAGATACCATAGCCTTACAAAGAGTTAAATGCTGTATTTGAAAAGAAAGAAGCTGATAAACTACCCCCACATCGCCTTTACGATTGTGCGATCAATTTACTCCCTGGGACTATACCACGCAAGGGTACTTTTATTCCCTAATTTTAAAGGAAAATAATAATAATAGAGGAGTATATTAATGAGAATCAAAGGAAAAGGTTAATAACAAAATCTTCATCTCTATCTGATGCAGGGTTATTTTTTTCTTTCAAAGAAAGAAGGGAATCTTAGACCCTTTATTGACTTCCTGTCATGTTCTTGAGCAGGTCAGAGAGGAGACGATTGCCAGGGTTATTGTTTGAAACTTTGTCTTTTTAGACATAACAATTTACTTGAAAGAAAGAATTAAGGCAATATGCCAAGAAAAGGATACTTTGAGAGTAAAACAGAATAAAGGCAATATGCCACAAACAGGATATCTTGAAAGTAAATTAATAAAGTCTTTTATATACAAGTAGGTTTGACGTTATTCCTAAATAGATTAGTAATCTGTGGAATGTCACACTGCAGCCAGGTTCAGGATGATACAGGGTTAAAGCTGATAAGTATTTGCAGTATAATATAGTACAGGTTGCTTACAGGATTATGCAGAGTTGCAGTAGTTGAGACAGGTAAGTAGATTCCAGTATAATGTAATACAGGTTGCTTACAGGATCATGCAGTATTGCAGCAGTTGAAACAGGTAAGTAGATTCCAGTATAATGTAACACAGGTTGCTTACAGGATCATGCAGTTTTGCAGCAGTTAAGTATCTTCAATATGGTAGATCAAGAAGGTTAGTCTCTTCAGATTGAAATAATGCAGATAAATATAGGATGTTTTCAGGAGCCAGGATCAGAAGTTCTATGTCAGAACACTGACTTCAATGTAAAGACCATGTGAAGAGTTGGGTGTGGCCTTTTATAGCAGACTTGGAAGATCATTTGAGGCAGGTGAGAGCAACTGAGGATTCACTAGTGGCTAGGGAGGCCACTAGAGGCGAGAAACAGGTATTGCAGAAATAAAATAAAACAATATCTTGGTTGTCAGGATAGGATCCTGACACTTCCGCAGACTTATCAAAATAACCATTCGTAATGCATACCCTATTCAATTGATATCTGAGTTGTTCAATAGGTTAAAATCCATCCATCATCTATTTTTACTAAATTTGATCTGCGAGGGGCTTACAATCTGGTTTGAATCAGAGAAGGGGATGAGGGGAAACAGCGTTTAACACATGATATAGGCATTGTGAATACTTTGTCATGCCATTCAGTTTATGTAACGCTCCAGCTGTTTTCGAGGACTTCATACGATGTATTAAGGGACGTTTTACACAAATTTGTTATAGTGTATCTAGACGATATCATGATCTATTCTAAGAACCTTGCGACTCATCATAACCATGTGAAGCTTGTTCTTTCCAAATTGCTAAAAAATTATTGTATTGTAAACTAGAAAAGTGTCTTTTTGACATAAAAGAAGTTCAATTCTTGGGATACATAATATCCGGTACAGGGTTTACAATCGACCCTAAGAAACTAGAAGCCATATTAGATTGGCCTTTGCCAATCAGATTAAAAGCCATACTGCATTTCTTGGGTTTTGCGAATTACTACAGGAGAATTATTAAGGGGTTTTCATCCATAACAGCCCCGATTACTTCCATTGCTAAAAAAGGAAAAACACATCAAGAATGGGCACCTAAGGCCTATGCCGCTTTTGATTCTCTTAAATGGCTTTTGCCTTGGCTCCTATCTTAGTACATCCTGACCCTTCTCTACCTATTTTGTTGTAGGAAAATGCATCTGAAACAGGCGTAGTGGCAGTACTCTCACAAAGGCCAGCGACTGATTTACCCCTTCACTCTTGTGGATATTTTTCTAAAAAAATAACAGAAACTGAAAAACGTGACGACATTGGAGAAGAGAATTGTTGGCCATAATCACAGCTTTGAAGGAATGGAGACACGTGTTAGAGGGATCACAACCACAATTCTCACCGATCATAACAATTTGTCATATTTCAGAGAGGCTAAAAGACTAACAGACAGGCAGGCACATTGGTCTCTGTTCTTGTCTCATTTCAACTACATCGTAACATACAGACCGGGTTAAAAAAAACACGAAGGGTGACGCTTTATCTCGTCAATTCGAGACTCAAACTAGTCTCGAACCTCAATTGTTGCCACTAGTGATGTCCCGAACTGTTCGGCGAACGGTTCGCCACGGACTCCAGTCAGCTGACACATTCCAGCCAATCAGCAGCAGACCCTCCCTCCCAGACCCTCCCACCTCCTGGACAGCTCACTTAGAATGCAGATTCAAAATGGATGCTGTCCAGGAGGTGGGAGGGTCTGGGAGGGAGGGTCTGCTGCTGAGTGGCTGGAATGTGTCAGCTGACTGGAGTCCGTGGCGAACCGTTCGTGGCGAACCGTTCGGCGAACAGTTCGGGACATCACTAGTTGCCACTCATTCCCAAAGACTGTTAAGTAGCCACTACTAAGATTAACATTAGATCAAAACTGATGGATCTACTAGTGTCAGGATTCAAACCTTAATTTTGGTATTTCATTTCTTTCATTCAAGTTTATGTCTGCAGTAACTATGTTTTACCACTAGTGGCCTCCCTAACCACTAGGTCTAAACTTCTTTCTCTCATCCTCACCTGCCTGTACTATTTACTGATGCAATAAGAGGCCACACCCTGCTAAAGGAAGTTGCCTTTACATTGATTCAAGTTGTGGTTCTGAACGTGACATGAATTCTGATCTTGGCTCATATGGAGAAACCTGCTTTGTTTCTAGACGGCTCTTTTCCAAGAAGCTTGGTAACAAAACGTGATTTCCAATTTCAACCTGCTTTGTTTCATATTGGACTTTATTGCCTTTTTACCTTGTTTGCATACCAACTTTACAACTACCGGAGTCAACTCAATCAACTTACTTTATTCATACTGGACTTGGTTACTATCCTGAATAACCCTGCTGCAATTATCTGAAGACTGCATTACTGCCTCCAATCAAGACTTTGAAAAACTAAATGTCTATCTAGCCTGAATTTATTATACCTTCATATTTAACTCTGTCTTATTATGTTTGCCTCTAACTTATAATTTCGCTTATAGGTTTTCCTTCTTTTGAATTACTTGTAAACCTCGCTTATAGCATTTCCTATCTCCTGAAAACCTGCTTGGGGCATATTGCCTAAACCACAATTTCTATTTCATCTTCTTTCTCAATCTTACCGATAATTCCGTTTTATAGGTTATTTCTCAATTTTGCCTATAATTCCATTTATAGGTTCTTATTCTATCTCTTTCTTTATAAAAAAATCATTAAAAACCCACTTCGTCATAAAAGCGTATCAATTAAACTGTTAATAGCTCCTGACTGATTCCTCTTCTGCAACTGTCACTAGTCTAATACTATCCTTACCTTTTTGAGTCATTTTACCCCACTCCCTCTAGCATGTAAGCTCATTGAGCAGGGCCCTCAACCCCTCTGTTCCTGTGTGTCCAACTTGTCTGGTTACAATTACATGTCTGTTCGTCCACCCATTGTAAAATGCTGCGGAATTTGATGGTGCTATTTAAATAGCATAATAATACTATTAAACAAGAATCTATTTCTTTATATCCTGTTACTTACCTAAATTTCCGTTTATAGGTTCTATCTCAATCTTGCCTATAATTCCGTTTATTGGTTTTCATCCTATCTATTTCTTTATAACATGTCTGGGGTTTATTGCCTAAACCCTTTATTTTATAACCTTCTTTATTACTTACCTGTAATCTCGTTTATAGGTTCAACTTTATCCATTTTGTCTTTAATTTCTTTAAAGTCTTGCTTCACTTATTATTTCAAGTTTAAAACATGTCTTACAATTCCAGTAAAGAACCTAAACTTAACCCCAGTATAAGTCTCTTAAAGGACCACTATAGTGCCAGGAAAACATACTCGTTTAGTGCCCTGAGGGTGCCCCCACCCTCAGGGACCCCCTCCCGCCCGGCTCTGGAAGGGGGAAAGGGGTAAAAACTTACCTTTTTCCAGCGCTGGGCAGAGAGCTCTCCTCCTCCGATCCTCCTCTTCTCCTCCCCGTCAGCTGAATGCGCATGCGCGGCATGCGCGCGCATTCAGCCGGTCACATAGGAAATCATTCATAATGTCTTCTTACCTTTACTGGGGGGAGGGGGGACATATTTTCATCCCTGGTGGTCCCAGTGGGATTCCCTGGTGGTCCAGTGTGGAGAGTGAACTCTAGCCCGCGCTCCTGTGCTAGAGTTCACTTTCGTGAGATTTGGAGTGTTGCCATGGTAACCGCGGCAACGCTCCAAATCTTGCGAGAGGAGGACCCGGAGGAGCTTTAGGCTGAGCTCCCGGGTCCTCTCTCTCCTCCATCTCCCTCCCCTGCCGGCTGTAAGCACAGTGCCTGCGGACCGGGGAGGGAGATCTCTGATCTCTCCTCCGGTCCGCAGGCACATTGCAGGGCTAGCGCCTGCATGTGCTAGCAGGGGAGGGAGAGGGAGACCGACGGATTTCTCGAGGGGGGGCAATTGCCCCGTTGCCCCCCCCCTGGATCCGCCACTGATCAGTGTATTGTAAAATAAATTCATACGATTATATTAATTGTATTTTTATAGCCTTTTGATTTGTCTGATTTGTTTTCTGAATAAGTTATCCTGTTGTCATGAACTTACCGTGTCTCCGCTCCCCCGAAGTTACTTCCGTGTTCGGAAGTAAGCTCCTCCCATTCTGATGATGCTCCACTCACTTGCCTTATAGGGAAGCTGCGCCAAACTCAAATGGCAGAGTTATTTTGTTCCGACCTCGGACTCCAAGCTGAGCTACCATTTTCTCCTCGTTCTCTTTCAGCATTTGTTATTCCAGCAAGGACTCCATTAAAGAACACCAACCAAACCAGGATCATTCTACTTCTTTCTGACACCTGCAATTTCTACTACAGTTACAGGAAGCTCAAGAAAAACCTTAAAGGGACACTCCAGTGCCAGGAAAACAAACCACAGGGTTAACCAGACATCCACTAGAGGGACTTCCGGGTATTTAGATGCCTTTTGTTCACCAAAATGACGCTGGATGTCCTCACACTATGCATGAGGATGTCCAGCATCACAGGAATCCCATAGAAAATCATTTTTCTAATGGGGAGATCCTAATACAAGCATGGCCATTGCCGCATATGCGCATTAGGTCTCCCCCGCTGGCTGATGTTGGCAGCGGAGGAGTGTGGACGGAGGGATATCGGCGCTGAATTCAGGTAAGTGACTATAGAGGTTTTAAACCCTTCAGTGGGGGTTGAGGCTGTAGGATTCTATACTGCAAGGAAAACGGCTTTGAGGGAGTGGTTGAACTTCTTTTCCTATCGATATTCTTCTCTTGCTGTAGGACAATTAAAACTTTATGGGTGCAGTTATTATCACCCATCATACTAGGATTACGAGACTTGAGCAAGAACCCTGCTTGACCTTGTGCCACTCATTCACTTATTAAGGAAATAAAGTATGCATTTTGAGTGTGTTCTTATAGCATCCTGAACTTCAATCAGGAGTATGAAAAAAAAAGTTGGCTGTAAAATGTGAGAGGCATTCCTGTGGTTCCCTGCACAGCCCTGAAGTAAAGAAATTCACAAGTACCCCTAGTGACCGTGTCCCCATGTGTTCCCTAGTTTCTCAGTGTCCCCATGTCTCCCTGCTGCCTTTCCTCCCCATCCCTCACTTACCTGAGTTGTAGAGCTCCTGCCTGGACTCTCTGTGCTGTGTGGCTGCTCCCCCATGGATCAGTGAGTAGTAGAGAAAGGCAGGGAGGGATATGCTGTAACTTCCTATCCCTGCCTCTCTCCATACACAGTGCTCCTACTGGCCGGTGCTGGTATTGCAGAGTAATTTCCATTTATACTGAGAAAAATACCTGCATTTGTATTGCCTGAATAACTGCAATACTGGCACTGTGAAGGCAGCCTCAAATACCAGCTGTGCCAGTAAAATACCAGTCAGGTGGCAAACCTAAGAGTAGTGTGTAAAAAAAAATTTTTTTTAAATGTGCCTATTCCATGGGCGTGGGCCTGGAGCTGCAGCTCCATCAGCCCCTATTTAATCCGGCCCTGGTTGGTGAGCTTACATGCTGGAGGGAGTGGGGTATAGTGACACAAAGGATATATGTAGGGGTAATGAAATAGATTGCTAGAAAAGTATTCACTGAGAACTTTTTTTTGACAATTGCAGGAGAGGAGTCATGGGGTGGGGGGGTATGAAAACCCGCTAACAGTTTAAATAATATGCTTTACTGAAGAAGTGTGTTTTAAAAGATTTTTTGAAGGAGTGGAGACTGGGTGAAAGTCTAACAGAGAAGGGAAAAGTTCCACAGAAAAGGTGCAGCCCTGGAGAAGTCTTGGAGGTGAGCATCAGATGTGGGAGTACGGACAGAGAATAGACGTAGGTCTTCGGCAGAGCGCAGGGGCCTCGACGGGACATACTTGTATTTTAGGGAGGATAGATAGGATGGACCAGCATTATGTAGGGAATTGTAAGCAAGCACCAGAATCTTAAATTGTGCCCTATATCAATGCAGGGACTGACAGAGGGGGAGGCGTGGAATGTGCGGGCTGACAGGAAAATGAGCCTTGCCGGCGCATTCATTATAGATTGCAGAAGTGCAATCTGGGAACACATAAGACCACTTCTCTCTCTTCGTCTGATGTTAAATTGGGCTGGATCCGAGCTATGTTTTTAGGATGGAAGTGGCAGGATTTGGCGATCGACTAGACATTAAGGGTAAAGGAGAGGTTGATATAAAAGAGAACACCTAAAGGGAGGACTTAAGGGCTTACATGAGGGGTGAGGGAGAGGTCAGTATCAAAGAGAACAACACTTGAGGGAGGAAAGACCAGAAGTTCTGTTTTGGACAGGTTGAGTTTAAGGAAGTGAGCATCCATCCAGTTGGAAATCACGGAGAGGCAGTCAAAGACATGAGTCAAAATGGGTGAAGAAAGATCAGGAGGGGACAGGTAGATTTGCATGTCATCTGATGAGTTTACCAAGGGAGGCAGTATAGATGGAGAACAGTAGGGGACCAAGGACAGAACCTTGGGGAACACCAACAGAGAGGTGTTGGGGAGAAGAGGTAAAGCCAGAGAAAGAAACACAGAAAAATCTCTGGGAGAGGTAGGCGTTGCACCAGGAGAGACGAGTATCTCGTAGACCGAGATTATCGAAAATGAGAAGAAGCTGTTGATGATCAACAGTGTCAAAGGAAGCAGAAAGATGAGGGAAAATTAGGATAGAGTAATGGCTACGAGATTTAGCAGCTCATTTGATAATTTGGTCATAGCTGTTTCAACAGAGTGACAAGCGCAGAATCCAGATTAAAGCAGGTCACGCAGAGAGTTGGATTTGAGAAAGTCTGTCAATCTTGCATACACAACTCTCTCAAGGATCTTGAAGGCAAATGGCAGTAGCTATATAGGGCGGTAGTTGGATAGGTAGTTGGGGTCAAGGATGGGCTTTTTCAGAATTGGCGTTATGGTTGTATGCTTGAAGGGTGAAAGAAATGTGCTGGTTGAAAGGGAGAGATAGAAAATCTTAGTGAGAGGAAGAGCAAGAGAGGGAGACAGAGTGTGCATGAGATATGAGGGAATAGGATCGAGGGAACAGGTGGTGGGGCAGGAGGATCGGAGCAGAGCAGAAACCTCTTCCATTCTAGTAGGTGCGAATGAGCATAGAACAGTGGAGTGAGTGGGGTTGAATAATGTATTGGAAAATATATTGGAAGTGAGAGAGGTTAGAGATCTCTTCCCTAATTGTCGAAATCTTCTCAGTGAAGTGAGTTGCAAAGTTTGAGGTGGACAGGGTGGTTGGAGGAGGGGGAGCAACAGGGCAAAAGAGAGCATTAAAAGTTTAAAATAGGCATATGGGTTGGCAGGACAGTGTGCTTATGAGGGTGTTGAAGTAATTTATTCTTGCAGAGGAAAGAGCCAGAGTGTAGGAGCGCAGCAAAAATTTATAGTGGAGGAAGTCAGGTGCAGAGTGAGACTTTCTCCAGCAGCATTCATCAGTTCTGGAAAAAAATTTGAGATATCAGGTCAGCTTGGTGTGCCAGGTTTGTAACTGGGAATGCCTGTGGTGTTTAAATGTAGGAGGTCATGATGTCTAGTTGAGAGGAGAGAGTGGAGTTGTAGAGTGAGGTTGCAGAGTTAGGGCAAGTGATATTTGAGATGGATAAAAGGAGAGTTTGGAGTTTGGTGGAGAAATGCTGGAGATCAAGGCCGTGGAGGTTTCTGTGAGATTGGAGAGTTGAGGGTAGTGAAATTTGGGTACGGGGTATGCCAATGTCAAAGGTCAGCAGATGGTGGTCAGATAAAGGAAATGGAACAGAGAGAGTAGAGGTGGTACAGAAATTGGTGAAGATGGGGTCAAGCATGTTTCCTGCTGTATGAGTTGCTGAAGCAGATCACTGTGTAAGGCTTAAAGAGGAGATTACAGAGAGCAGACGGGAGGCACCAGGGCAGTTGAGGTTGTAGAAGTATGAGGGAAGGAGTTCTAGAGGAGAGAAAGCTGGGTAGCCAGGAAGAAAAGTGTTCAATGAATAGCCTAGGATGACCAGGGGGGGCGATAGATGATGGCAATTCTTAAAGGAGTGGGTTTAAATAGATGGACAGTGTGAACGTCAAAGGAAGTAAAGGATAGGGCAGGGTCAGGGAGGATAGGTTGAAAGGTGCATTGATAGGAGAGAAGGATGCCAACACCACCGCCTTTACAGTTGAGTCTGGGAGTGTGGGAGAATTGTAGTCTACCAAAACATAAAGAAGCCGGAGTAGCGGTATTAGAGGGGGAAGCCAGGTCTCTGTGAGCGCTAGTAGTGTGAGGGAAGTAGAGATGAAGAGGTTATATGTGGCTGTTGATTTAATATTGCTACAGATGGAACGGGCGTTTTAGACTGCACACTGAATGTTGGTAGAAGATGATAAACTGTAGAATATTTGGATAGGGGTTTGCATGGTTTCTAGTTGTTTTACTGTGAGCAGACGAGGTGAAGGGCCCTGGGTTGGGAAAGACATTACCAGCTGCTATAGGTAGGAGGAGAGATAGTGACAGGAAGTGTGAAAGAGCATTGCTCAGATGAGTAAGTACTTTGAGAAAAGCAGAATGGGCAAAAGTAAGGAGAATAAGAACTGAGTGTTAGGGGTTAAGGGAGTGTAGGAGTGTTCTGATTACAGGTAGTGTTTGCAGCTGTCATTTCTAATTATCTAAAATTGTATGTACATCAGTTCATTTGCTGGATATGTTCTTAGATGCTTACTGACTGATTAAGCATTTTTTTAATATATTGCATTATTTTGTTTTGTATTTTCAAGGACGGATGCAGAATAGGAAGAAATCGTTTCTGATTCATCAGGATACAGTTTTTTACGAATGCTGCATTTCTCATATAGTAATCGGATTTCAAAGTAAAGGTCACCGCATATAAATATCTCATTTGAAACTGCAGCTTTATGAGATAAATAATCAGCTTGATTCAAATTACATAAATACCAACACTGTGGACTTCTTGCTATGCTTTGGTAACTCATATTGCATCTTTAGGTCACAGTTATCTTTGGCCAGGAGACTTCCTTTACACTTGGCATTGGCAAATAGGACATCCGCTGGGAAAAAAATATTTTCTGTTATTATGGGCCAATATTTTAAATGGTGGAAATGTGTAAAAAAAACAGCTGCTAAAGGAAAGCACATGAAAAGTTCTACCCTGCAGAATGTGAGCTGTACAGTTCCAGATATTAACTAAGTGTGACTATTCCTTTATAATTACACTTTGAATTTAATTACTTTCTACAGTTTATGATTTGCAGTGAAGGAAATATAATGTTCTTCCCATCAGCCAGTATATAAAACATCACATAATGAACCAGAGAACCAAAATAATGAAAAGGTCACTACCATTAAATGTTAAATGTTCCAAAATGACATAATGATATAAAAAAATAATAATAATTGACAGCAAACTAGGTGAACAAACAATTTTCAGATAGACAAAGGCAAATGACAATAGACAAAGTACAGTGTTTCCATTGTGTAATAAAGTAATGGTATAAAGAAATATATAGAATATGTGTACTGAGAATTCCTAGTATGCATTTGGACCATAGTAGCCATTATCTCAATAATCCACTGCTTATTATACTTTTTATTTTGTAAAATCTCTATAACTGTTAAATAAAATAATAAATAGAAAATGTATTAAATTGTATAGAATGCACAGTTTCACAGCTGGTTGGTCAAATTATATATTTAGAAATGACACATAAACAATTTAAACTTTTTATATGTCATATGGACAATTTCCGATCTTTGGTAGTTAATGAGATTTCATTGTGGTGTATTTTAAGAGAGGTGAGCGATGTAATGGTTTGAAATGTATTCATATAAAAGGTGAAATTAAATATGTATCTATTGACATTGTGTCTCATAATTATCATAATGATGTTTTGGTTCCTATATGATAAATTAGCATAGGTTAGAAAAAAGCATAAATGTAATGTTAATTATTGTTTTTTCCTATGTTATGCAAAATCTCGCAATTATCTTTCACTTTCCACAAATGTTTGAAAATGCTCAGACCAATTTCTAGAGCAAAAAGGTTAGACAATTTTGAAGATTTTTTTCATCAATTTTCTTATCACAAAATGACAGGTAATTATACAAATATCAATACATCTAAAGCTTTGTACTTCTTTAACACTTTGTGATTTAAATGTGTAAATATAAGAAATTTGATTTCCCTTAAAGAGACAATTGTGATTGCATTTAATACCTTATTTAACTGTAAGCAGATATGGGAAGCATCTTCTTTTGGAGTGCACGTTAAAATATAAATACAATACATTTTTTATTATCTTTCTGCAGAAATATATTTTCCAACATCAACACTATCTCATTATTTTTCATCACAGCGTATTCTTTCAAGAAGCTTTTCACTCTAATGAAAACTGAACTTATCATCCTGTTGAATACCAATCTAATCTACATTACCAAGCTTCTTTATTCCAAACTGATCTACACAACCAACTTTCTTTGGGACCAAGCTTTTTTATATCAATGTGAACTACTCTACAAACCAACCTTTGTTACCAATCTGCATTATTACCAACCTGCTTCATATCAACCTGAACTACGATATTTCTAGCCAAAAAATGGGGCACAAGAGTAGTAGTTCTAATTCTGATGCCTTTCTGTTTTGTTCTGATTTTCTTGTCTTTCTATATATCCTATACTTTCTACTATAGGTATTTGTAACTGTCTGGGTCATATTGCCTAAACCTATATTTCTATTCTTTCACATTTTACCTACTTACCTATAATTCCGCTTATAGGTTCTCCTTCAGCGTTACCTATAATTCTGCTTTGTAACAACCTGTCTGGGGCATATTGCCTAAACCTCTATTATTTCACCTTCTTCATACTTACCTACAATTCTGCTTACAGGTTCTCCTTCAGCCTTACCTATAATTCCACCTATAGGTTCTCCTTCAAACTTACCTATAATTTTGTTTATAGATTTTCCTGCTGCAATTTGCATAGCTCTCTTTTATATTCTCCCTTCTTTATTTACTTTATTTACTTTCCTCTTTGGCTTGCTCCATATACCAATTGTGTGTAACTATGTCTAAAGTCTCCAATAAACTATCAAGCCTGCTAAAGACCATGACAGAATCTAAAGGCCTTAAAACAAAAGAGACTGCATAGTTAACAAACGTTGTGAAAATAATTGCAGAATACCTATTGGAACTATGCAAGTCAGTAATAATTATGCTACAATCAAGTCCCTGCAAATCTACTGAGAAAAAGACTAAGTCAGTCTCACCTTCCAGAAAAAGCCGAAAGAGATAACCATTATTAAAAGAAGAAATACAAAAGAGACGGCAAGAGGATTCATGTTTTTTATTGTGGTGAAAAAGGGCACCGTATCACATATTGACCAAGAAAACCTTCAAAGCTCCCAATAGAGTCCGATCCAAAGCTACAGACCTCTCAACCTGACACTCCTATATACAAAGACCTTATGGTCTTCAGACTGTATATCTGATTCTCACAAGAAACCAATACCTAACATCTCAAAATATCAGCTGAAGAATCTGAAGAGATGGACTGTATCTTATATGAAGACCTACCCTCTGATAATGAGGGTACAGAAGAATAACCTTTCATGGAAGAACCTATGGTTACTATTATGACTACTACTCTCCTCATCCAATCCGTAGAAAAGCGGAATGCTCCTAAGAGGAATACGGCAAAACCTCCATTTGGTGCTCCTGGTCTTGTAAAAGCCAGTGATGGTACTCTCATGCCATTTAAAGAACTCAACATTTATGAAAATTATCTGGATGTTATGAGGTATGTGGATGGTGAACCCCCTGAGAAATCCTCTAATCAAGTGTTAACCTGCTCTTCCTCCCAACCAGTAACCGTGGGTATACGAAAAGCTACTCAGGAAAAACATACGAAACATCAGATTGTCAATTCTGGGTAAATAAAGAAAAATAATTAACCCCTTTCTTCACTTAGAAAAATTATACTTCCAAGTTACCAACAGAGGAACTGCTGCCTGATTGCATCAAAGCCTCAAACGGTACAGAGGGGGGCCTTAAAAACGTATAGTGCCAGAAATATTTTACTGGCACTGTAGGATCCCTTTAACTAATTTCATTGTCAGCCAGTTCACACCAGTTTTGTTACCCTATATCACTCTTAAGTTTCCATACTTAAGCAAGGGCATGTGAAGAGTAGTAAAAAAAAACTGATTTAAAAAAAATCTATAGCCATGGGCTTGGAGCTGCAGCTCCATCAACCCCTGTATGTATCCTTTATATATAACAAATATGTTTTTGCTAGGTCTTAAATAAAAACTAAATGCAGAAATCCATACTAATGAAACTACTTCTATCCTGGAACTGAGCGTCTTAAATTTTGCTCTACTATCAATTATTAGTATTATTATTATTGTTCAAAGCTATGCTCTTTGAATCTGTCAGTCAGCATTAGGATCATAAATAGAGAAGCAAAAATGGACAAATACCCAGCTTATGTGTACTTGTTATGGCCCTGATGGCAGAATGATCATTCCAACCCTTAAAATGGTTTGCATAATAAAAAGAATATCTATATTTTAGCATAATGCTAAATACAATAAGTGCAGTTATTAGAGACTTGCATTCATGTTAAGATGAATGGCAAAATTAGCAAAAAAAAATGTTTTGGGTCATTTAGTCAGAAAAAGAATAATGGGCCACTGACCAAATGTCATTCATTTGCTAATTGCACATGTGATGCTGCCGTCCATGCCAATACAGCAAATATGTGAGTATTTTCTATTCAATCTTGTGATCACAATCACAAACCAATCATCATAACGTGCTATGTGATATTGATTGGATGTGTAGAAATGTCATTGTTACGAAAATATAACTTTTGTGACAAATAGTTGGTCAACAAAGGCAATGAGTCAGCCTAATCCAAATTATAAATGTAATTACCAATAAAATCAAGCACCAAAAGGGATGCTAAGTTAAAAAAATTGCTGAAAATGAAAAACAGAACTTTCAATAACAAGACAAAAAAGAAAGAAAATAAGAAGAAAAAGTGTAGTGATGACTGAACTGTGTATATAAAAATTAAAAATTAAAGTGGGTAATCATCTCTAGATAGCTGAATAGGTAAAGGGGGAATTTAAATGATGTGTAGTTGCTACTAGACTGACAATGTTTAACCATTAAGGGAGATTAAAACTATAGAATTAAACAATATAACCAAAGTATAAAGTTTTGGAGCTTGGTGTCTATTGGAGTATAATAGTGTATCTAGTTGAAGATGAGACGATTCAGTAGAATTATATTAATAGCTGCTCACAGAATTTTTTTTTTTTTAACAGACACTATTTAAACTGTCTATTCCATTCTGCAATGTAGTCTTGGTTGTTCATGACAACCCTTGATCCACCCTTGTCAGCTGGCTTAATGATGATGTTTTTAATATTCATCAAATTACCCAAGGTATTTCTTTCCAAAGGTGAGAGATTGTATATGAATTTTTTTTTTTGTTGCATACTAAGAAGGAAGGCCACTCTCAGGTGAAAGACTTTCAACATAGCTGTCCAATTTGATGTTACGTCCTGGTGTAAAATGTTTGTTCTTTATTCTCCCATTATTCTCCAGGTTGAGAGTGGTGTTTTTTTGTCATAGAAGAATTCCTTAAGGCTCATTCTTCTGAAAAAGTCTTCAAAGTCTGAATATAACTGGATGTGATCCAATTTTGTGCTTGGGAACTAATGGGAACAAACAGATCCAATGAAAAGATGAAAACTACTACAAAAAACTGGACCAGGACCCATCAAAGCATATGCAGGTCAACTTATCAGAAGTATCTGGCCTAATAGAAAGCATCCTTAAGTCTCTCTTATTAACACTAGAGCTTTATACAGAACAACAGAGACTTTCTTAATAAACTTAGCCAGATAAATTACCTGAAAACACTATACTTGTAACTATGGACGTGAAATCTTTATACAGTAACATCCCACATAAGAATGGAATTGAGGCCTGCATTACATTTCTCTCGGCCCATAAACAAATGCACAAATTGCAATTATTGCACAGCTTATAGAATTAATACTCACATACAACTATTTCAGTTTTAATAACAATAACTACTTACAAATGACAGGGACAACAATGGGCAAAAAAAGTCACCACAATATGCTAACCTTTTCTAGAGCACTCGCCCATGGACCACAGGTGGGGGGCACTATTAATCAGTTATGACAAGGAAAGGATGTAAGGAGAGATAGTGAAATGCAATTTTTTGCATTCTCTATTTGTACCACTGTCCTAAAGGACATGCTAGGACATAACATTTCCATTCATTTTAATAATAAAAACAAAATATGTAAATCACAAGAATAGATTTCTGACAACCTTAAGACTAATACAGGTTTTTTTTTAATACAATATGCCACAGTACTTTATTAAGGTCATTAGGATAAAAATTGTATAACCAATCTGCCATTTTATAATAATCCACCATTTAGTAATCAGGTGCCATTTTGTAATCAACCACCATTTTATATTCAGGTGCCATTTTGTGATCAGGTTCCACTTTCTTGGTTACTGCTCAAAGCTACCTAAATTAATTATCTATAAAGGCAGTATTAAATATTATTTAGAGCAAATAACATTTTACCAAGATTGAACTCCAAACAGATATTTTGCTTTTCAGTAAATACTTTTTGGAGAAGTATTCTTACAGTAGATGTTTTGGCAAAGTAAATCATTAAAGTTGCAAGATGGTGAATTATATTTTGGGGCACTCACCTCAGTAATGTCTGTAATGTCTGCTTCGTGATGTGATCACAATTAATTTTTGTGATATCTAAGATAATTGCTGATTCTGTGTAGAAATCAATTTAATTTCCTATATAAACTTTTTTTGAGACCAAAAAATATGGATTTGATTTGAAAACTCTGTTGTGAGTCAGTAATTTCCCTTGAGCTCATAGGTGTTGTGCTGGTTGGAATTCCAAAGACAGACTGCAGTAGATAAATTAGAGTCTCCAGGGATGAATAATAGCCTTAACAGAGGTCCAAATCCACTCTTTACACTTTTCAAAGAAAAGAGAGGCTGATGTCTCAGAAGGTGATACATCAATGAAAAAGTCTTGTTTTCTTGATGCACCATCCTAAAGAGACTTATGTGGAAGGTGGTACAATCAGTCTTTGGAGGAATCTTCATTGAGTCAAGCAAAAATATAACAAATACTACAGGTGGGCTTATTTCCTTGACTAGGATTGGGAAGTCATGCATGTTCAGAGTCTGTGGCCTTTGTAGGGTACATGTGTTCACATTTAGATGTCATGCATCCTGCAAATAAACTACAATGAGACCGAGTCTTCATTGTCTACCTGTTATGATGAATAGTTGAGGAAATTCCACTGAGGCATCTTTGGGAAATTGTCAACATTTTAGTGGTCCAATTCTTGTGATTGGCAATTTACATATGTTGCCAATCAGTATGAAATATTGTGGTGGCAATCAGCCAATGTCACAGGGTTGTATTGTTGCTAAAGCTGCAGGGTAAAGCTGAAAAGATCAGAATTTTCTGAAAGTAAGCAAAGTATGGTGGCATGTAAGTTGTAATAGCTGTGTAGGTTTGAGTCAACGATGGGTTGTGCTTGGAATCATATTTTTTTTAAAACAAAAGTCTTCAGGTCACACTTTATTTCATGTCTGAACTCCTGAAACACTGGGCACATAAGAGATACAGGCAGCTTAAGTATGTACAGAGGATTAAGTCTGTGACATATCATTCATCTATCTTTACTGCCGTGTTTGATTGTCTCCCGCTGAACTATAGTGTTGGCTCTGGACATCCCTGATGTTATCAGAGAAAAATACTGGTTGTAAGTACAGATGCATGGAACCAATACACTGAAACCCATGAGTATCTCTTAGATGAGTCTACTCTTATCAACTAGCACACTCCATCCTCTTTATAATGTATTTTGACCATTTTTATAATGAAGTTTACAGCCATAGGCAATAACATAGTTAAGAAAGAAATGTGCTTGCAAAATCCTACCTATGTTATATTTATAAATATTTCTTTCCTGTGTGTATTATTAGCACTGCACTTATTTTGAACTGTTATGAAAATTGCCCTTTATTTAATAAGAAAATAAATTGTTTAGTTTTCTTTCTACGTCAATGAAATGGTCAACAGACAGACTGAAAGAATTATTAAAAGTAAACAAGTGGCTTTGCTTTTCATATGTAGAGTCCTTCTTCATATGTGTGTTGGTGCTGAATGAGCGATTAATATTAGAAGATTAAATCTGTGATATTTGCTTAAATGTTGCTCTGTATAATCTGCGGTCGTTATCTGCCCTTTGATCTGATTGTTTACTATATCTAATCAGTTTCCATGGTAATCATGATTCTAGAAGTGTGTTTCTGTTAGGCATTAAATTGACATACCAAATTAGAATCAAGACACACTTGAATTCCGTGCCTGTATTTCAGTTCTCTTTGTTTCGATTTCTACTGTAAACATAATGTACAGATATATTCCTACAAATCATTTATTTTTAGACGTATGTAAATGGTGTTTTTGATGCTTGTTAACCATTTCTGGGTGAGATTTTGTATGTTAATATATGATAAGAGCTATTAGGTATTTATGCGTACATGTATATATAAACCGTCAATGAAACATTTTTTGTCTCACTTGTTTCTTAGATAATCTGTATTTAAAAAGAAAAGCTAAAGAAAAAAATTATTTGCAATATATTTGTATAGCTTTCCCTACTTTATGAGACAATATGCACTGGGGTTTAATCTAATTTGACATTTACAAACAAAACAGAAATTTTTTTAAGGTTTAGGATTATCATATTTGGCAGAAGTCGGAATCTCCTGGCAAAAGTGTATATGTTAAACAAAAAAATGCAACATATGAAACAACCAGTAATGTTTTATCAA